AGAGAAGAGTATGACCAATGCAGTACTGAAGAGTAATAAAGTAAAGACACTGATACTACTGACCTCAAGACTTACTAGAAAGCTATAGTAACCAAGATGGTATGACGTTGGCATAAAAACAGAAAAGGGACCGAGGATATAACACTTGCTTAGTATGTGTATTGCCCCAAATTTGATCTCTCACACTGCAAAACAGAAGAACAAAAACCAAAACAAAAACAAACAAACAAACAAACAAAAAACCTAGACCAATTGATCAATGGAACAGACAGAAAGCCCAGAAATGGATTCACACAAATATAATCAACTAATTTTTGAAAAAGGAATAAGTGAAATTCAATGAAGAAGTTTGTTTCAATAAATGTGTCTGGCACAAATGTTTATTCGCATGCAAAAAAGGAGGAGGAGGCAGAGGAGAGGAAGAGTCCAGACATAGACCTTACACTTTTTGTAAAAATTAAAGCTGGGGCTGGAATTGTAGCTCATTGGTAGTGTGCCTGTCTACTATGGTACTGGGTTCAATCCTTAACACCACATAAAATAAATAAATAAAATAAAGGATTAAAAAACATCATTTTAAAAAAATAAAGTCACAGACTGAAAGAAAGTCTTTAGTGAACACATTTCCATAAAGAGCTGCCATCTACAATATACAGCGAACCCTTAAAATTTAGAAAACAGTCAAATCTTAAAACAGGCAAAAGGATGAACAGATATCTCACCAAACAAGATATAGAGCTGGAAAACAGGCATATACAAAGATGTTCAACCTCATATGTTATTGAAGAATTGCAAATAAGGCAGGCATAGTGGCACATGCCTGTAATCCCAGATATCTGGAAGGCAAAGGCAGGAGGAGCAGAAGTTTGAAGGCAGCCCCAGCAACTTCTGATTTGAAGCCTTGTCTCAAAATACAAAAAGAACTGGGGATGTAGCTCCACGTAGAGTGACACAGGGTTTAATCTCAAGTACCACAAAAACAAAAGCAAATAAAAAACATCAGCAATGAGATACCACTGCACAGTTACTAGAATAGCTAAAATCCAAAACATTAACAATTAAATGCTGGTGAGGATGTGGAGCAACTGGAACTCTCAGTGCTGATGGGAATAAAAAATGTACAGCAACTGTAGAAGACAGTTTGGCAATTTGTTACAAAACAAAGCTGACTTATCTTACACTCTAACTATTATTCTCCTTGGTATTTACCCAAATGAATTGAAAACTTACAGCCACTAAATTCTGTACATGAATGTTTATAGCCACTTTATTTATAATTGCCAAAACTTGGAAGCAACCATGATAACCTTCAATATATGGAGGGATGAGCAAATAGTGGCACATCCATACAATGAACTATTATTCAATAATTTAAAAAAATGATGGGGCTGGGGTTATGGCTCAATGGTAGAGTGCTAGCCTCGCACGTGCAAGGCCCTGGGTTCGATCCTCAGCACCACATATAAATAAAATAAAGTTATTGTGTCCAACTACTGCTAAGTGAAAGAAGCTGTCTTAAAAAAACTATAAGCTGTATAATTCCAACTATATGACCTCTGATCTGATCAAAACTATGGTAATGGGAAAAAAAGATCAGTGGTTTCCAGGATTGGGAGGAGAAAAGGCTGAATAGGTGAAGCCCAGAGACTTAGGGCAGTGAAAGTATTCTTATGATACAGTGATGGTGAATATATGAAGTCTAACATAACAAATGGACTATAGTTAATGTATCAATATTAGTTTATCAGTTATAACAAATGACCCACGTGTATTATTATTACAAGATATTAATAATAGGGGAAACTGTTTCAAGCAGCTATATGGAACTCTCTTTTCATTCCACTCAATTTTTCTATAATCCTAAAGCTCTTCTAAAAACTGACACTAATTTTAATGAAAAAATAACTTTGAACTAAAAGATTATTTAGTATGAACACCCTAAAATTCATTGTGTGCATCAGAAAATCAAGATTGTTGTGAAGATTGGCTAAGAGTTCCATTGACCCTAATGAAAGAGATAACTTGGGATTATTTTAATACAAAATCAAACTTACCGTGCCATCATTAAATCAGTGGTGGAAATCTGATATGACAGCTAGTTGCAGCTTTTAAGTGCAACAGGAATCAAGTATATGGACCAATCTTCATATGCTTTAATGAAACAACAAAAAATACCCAAATTACTTTGCTATGAAAGGCAGATGAAATATAAATTTAGCATTTTCTTTGGCATCCTTTGACTTACATGGTTCATGGCTTAAAAATTATTGAGATAAATTATGTACTCTTCTCAGGAAAATGTTTTTAATTGTTGAGTGATTTTTTTTAGCTAAATAATTAGAAATGTAAAGTATATAATACAAGAAGTACGGATTCCAGAACTCTTAGTGAACTTTCTGTAGCCATTTGTCTTTTAAATATATGGATCTATAATCAAGGGTGAAAGTTATTTCATCTCTCTCTCTCTCTCTCTCTCTCTCTCTCACACACACACACACACACACACACACAATTATTTATCCAGCAAAACCAAGGAAGAAATATGTTGAATATTCTTATGGATTAATTGGAACACTGAACTTCCTCCCCTCCCCTCCCCTCCCCTCCCCTCCCCCTTCTAATAGGTCTCATTTTAAATAGCATTCCCTCCTCCTGGGTCAAGGACAGAAGAACTGGTTTCATTATTTGGCTCATTAATTAGGTAAATATACTCAAAGATAATACACCTCTACTCTGTCTACTTAGAGAACTCAACTATGTTCACTAGCCAATACCCCAAACTGTATTTGAAACCTTTTAAGTTAAGAGGGTTTCAAATACAGTTTGGGGTATTGGCTATATATCCCCCTGGCTTCAGTCACAAATTTAAAGAACCTGCTGAAATTCACACCACATCTCTGCCTATCCAAAACCAGCTCCTCTCTAGGTCGCTAGTATATTTCTATGGTTCTGCCAGTATCCCAGGTAGTAACACCCTGGACATTGTCCTCTCCTTTTTCTACCACAGGTGCTTTCCTCTGGTCAGTTACCAAAGCAGATAGGTTTACCTTCATATGCTCCCAATTTGTCTCTGTATTCTCATAGTTGTGACTGTCACAACCTTCTAACAAGTTCTCTGCCCCTAGTGTCTTGAATTTTCAATTCCTGAGCACCCATCTTTAATAGGTTTAATCTTCTGAAACAACTCCTTATGGAGTAATGAGAATATAAATTAGTACACGTTTAATGCTTCCATGTACCAGGCATACTGTGTATATTTTCAAGTCTTTCCATTTAAATATCTTCAAATGTCCTATGGAATAACAATTACCATCCCTACTGAACAGAGAAATAAGTGGAGTCACTGAAGAGTAACTTATCCAAAGTTGCATAGTAGTATGTGGCAGTTAAAATCATGCAACCTTCAAGGCTGCAGTCTGAGTACTTAGCCATATCTTTCTTCTGTATATCCACCTTCCTCTTCCATTTGCTCAAACATGTCTTTTTATTATGTATAAAATAAAGGTTTTGGGGGCTGGGGTTGTGGCTCAGTGATAGAGCACTTGCCTAGTATGAGTGAGGCACTGGGTTCAATCCTCAGCACCACATAAAAAAATAAACAAATAAAATAAGGATATTGCATCCATGTATAACTAAAAATATTTATAAAAAAGGTTTTGACCTGTGTCCATCATCCTCCAGATAATTAGTTTCTACATACTTCCTTTAATGTTTCTGCCTCCTTTTCTCTATATGTTCCTGCCCCTCTAGCAAAATTGGTAGTCACCTGTTGTTATTTGTCTCTTATACATTGTCATATCTCCCATATTACACTGTTAAAACCTGGAATAGGAACCACGTGTTTGCCTAACACTTTTCTACATAAGGCAATGGACTATTATGGCTGTTTTGTGTGAAAATGTACTGGATATTCTCATGTGATCCTCCCTAAAATCTTCTAATCCAGACATTGCCCCAAATGGTCAGTAACTTGTTAAGAAAAAAAAAATGTGCTATTTGATTTTTCCTTTCCATAAACATTGTACGCCAATAGCAGTAGCGAGAGAAAATAGAGGATGATGTAGGAAGATGAGCAAGACATGGTTCCCTTCTCTCCAGATGCTCACGTTATAGTAGGAAGAAAAAGATACAAACAATTAGGGAGCACCATGGCAAGTTCTATGAAAAAGACCAGTCTGGAGCTCAAGGAAATACCAAATAGGAATGTTTAGTCCAGGGGATCCAGAAGAGCTCCACAGAGGAGAGATGCTTGGCCAGAGCTTAGATGGATGAGTAGAAGCTGACCAGGTAGTTGATGTTTACCCAGTGGTTGAAATCATTCCAAGCAGAGGGATTTACATGTACAATGGCTCTGAGGCATGCCAGTACTTGGAATACTTGAGGAAGAAGGAATAGTACAGTGTAGCTGGAAAAAAAAAAGACTACTTTAGTGGTGAAAGACAAAGAGTTCAGATTATTGGAAAATTGGGTGGAAGTTGAGTCTACAAGTTTGAAATTTATAGGAACTGAGAGGTGACTGATAGATTTTTTTCAGGGAAAAGCGATGCCAAGATTGTTTTATAAATGGAGGCAACAAGAGAAATGGATAGGAATCATATGAGACTGGAAATGGATCAGCATAGCTAAAAATGAAAGATGATGAGAGACTAAAGAGTGAGGATGCAGGGGAAAGAAAAGGTTCAGGAGATATGAGCTAGAGCCTATGTAACTGGACACAAAGAATGAGAACTTCGGCAGCATAATGGACTCACGGCATTTGTGCCCTTTGGAGACTAACCTTTCTCTTTTGTTTCCCTTTCTTGTTTTGCGATATATTTTAAAAGGCCCTCCCTGTGATTCTGATACACTCTAACCAGTGCTATAGAAAGATATTACAGAGGCTGAACAGAGAAATGTCCAGTCCTATCTTGCATTTCTTATTCAACAGATATGAGATGAGGCCCAAGCAAGTGATATATTTTTTCTTTTTTTTAATATCCAAAATGTGTTTATTGGTACGTTTTCCCACTCATCTTGATTCAGGTTGCTTTTAGTGCTGCTTCCTTCTGAAGGAACATCCTTCTGTAAGTCTTACTTTTCCTCCTGTAGGCTGGCAGAGAACAGTGGAGCAGCCAACACACAAAACTACTCTTTGTGCATGGCTGAAAACTGTGGTGATTTTATAGCATCCTGGGCATTTCACATCCATGAAATAGAATTGGGGCTCTGCACCAGGCACCACTTCTTGTGTTTCCTCTTCTCTTCTGGAGAGAGATGAAGGAGATTTTTTGCGAGAGGCATGTTCTTGTGGGGAGGTCATCACCGCCGGAAAGGCAAGCATATGATTTCCAATGAGTTCCCAGGTAATACTGATGCTGCTGGTCCAGGGACCATACTTTAAGAAGCACTGCTTTATAGCACTGACAATGGCCATTTCCTTCCTAAAAGTCTCCTTTCTTGGCATTCTATGCCATCATTTTTCTGCAGACCCACCTCTTCTTATACTGGGAAAACCTGGGGGCAAGAGTATAAACTGAGGCCTATATATTCTATGTGTACTGTTTTAAAATTTATGGTTAAAACTAACCATCTCTTAGGGTATCACACTGAATTATGGCACATGAACAGTGAGCCTCAGGCCTCCCAACCTTGTTTTGTGCTGCATTTGATGGCCTCTTTCACAAGCGACAAGACACTCAGCCTGCTATTCAAGCTTCCTGCACCCCTACCCCATCCACTATCTTAGACAAAAGGATTGGCCCTTGGAAGGACAACCAGAGGCTGAGGCCCAAGTAAGGCCCTTGACACAGGCTTAGATCAATTGATTAGGAAATTCCAGGAGCCTAGGACATAAAGCTTTGACTACAGGGGGTTGTCCATGATGCTGGTGGTATATTCCCTTGGTCCTGGGGCTCATCTCCCTGTGGGAAAGGGTACAGCTGGAAGAAGGATGGGAGAGAGCAGGGGCATGTGAAGGTCATGGTCAGGGTGCCCTATGGCCTTGGGATAAGGGTAGTTCAATTTTTTGTTTTTTCTCTTTTATAGTAATGAAGGTTGAACCTAGAGGCAGTCTACCACTTAGCTACATCCCCAACCCTTTTTATTTTGAGACAGGTTCTCACTAAGTTGCTTAGGCTGGCCTTGAACTTGGGATATTCCTGCCTCAGCCTCCCAAATTGCTAAGATTACAGTCATGCACTATCACACCCAAATAGGACCATCAACTTTCCTAACCATTCTGGCTGCTCCTACTCAGTTTCTGTCTTTGGCTGCTCCTATTTACCTCTGCTTCTTGCCCCTCAAATTCTTGTGCTCCCCAGAATTCTTACCTTCTACACCTGAGGCTCTTAATCTGAGAGGTGTCTATGGATGAACTTCAGTAAAATATGTGAACCCCTGAAAAAGGATACAAAATCTTCAGATTCTGAGTGTATATTTTTCCAAGACGAAAAATCGAATCACTTTCAGTATTTTCTCAAAGGGGTTTGTGATATCACACACCCCAAAAAAGATTAAGAACCCCTGCAATATAGATTCTGTTTAGATTTCATTTGTAGGTATTTTTTTATGATTCTCAAAACTATTGTTCATGGGCCTCTGTTTTTATTCTAAGGAGACATCAAACTCTCCCAAGAACCTCAGACTGGAGATTAAGTTGACTGTTTGGCCTTTCTTAATCAGTATCTTAGATACATCTCATTATGAAACTGAAAACTGAATCTGTTGTCTCCCCTAAACATGTTATGTTTTTCCTGTGTCCCCTATTTCATTGCATTGCCTCAAAAAACACCCAGTTGCATAAATCCAAAATCTATCAGTCATCCTCACCCTCTCTTTCTTTAATATCCCCACTTTCAATGGGTCCAAAATCTACTCTCATTTTTTCTCAAAATCAATCCCATCTCTTTCCTCAAAATTGCCACTATACTAAATTCCATAAGAATGACTTGATCCCTCACTCCAAGAAGATTTGAGGGCTTAAAGATTGGTACTGTTTCCTACTCCTTGCATAGCATGGGATGCAAAGAGGACCTAAAAGTCAAGGTGAAGAAACCAACTTTAGACTACCAATCAGAATTGGTCAAGGATTTTCTACACCATAGCTAAAATTAAATCAATGATGAACTTTTATAATTGGATGCAGTGATACGTTTAAACACCTTTCTTCAATTTGATTTTTGTAGTCTCTTCAATACTGTGAAATTTTCAGCACTCACAGTTCTCAAAAGGTATTGCTCCCAGGTTGAGCTCATAAAAGGAGCATTAATACACGGAGGAAAAAAATCCATGTAGATGATTGTTTGTTTTTCAGTCATCTTAAAGCTGGTTTTAATTGTTCTAAAATGAAGGCAGATGCAGTGGACAAAATAACATCTTACATGAAATGCTTTGGGGGAATTGTTGGGAAAAGGTATAATGGCAGCTACACCCCGAATAACCCCAGCATGGCGCCTGAGGAGCTTCTCTTCCTGCCTCTCCCTTTCCTGCCGGCGCCAATTTCAAATCTCGCTGGCAGGAAACCTTAGCCCCAATAAGAACTAATTTTGTGGGCTCCGGAACTGACATCTGGAAGAACTTACCAATAAACGAGTGACAGGTCATTTACCTAAGCCCTGTCACCTCTCCTTAGATCTATATAAGCGCACAGCCTTTTGTAATAAAGTGGAACTCTCCCCAGCGAAGTGTCTTGCTTGGAGGAATTCTTTCAGGAATACCATGCCTGAATAGTGTCCTCAAGAGAAAAAAAAAGACATGATCATTTTGGTCCATTAAAAACTTGTCTGGGGCTGGGGATGTGGCTCAAGCGGTAGCGCGCTCGCCTGGCATGCGTGCGGCCCAGGTTCGATCTTCAGCACCACATACAAACAAAGATGTTGTGTCTGCGGAGAACTAAAAAATAAATATTAAAAAAAAATTCTTGCTCCCTCTCTCACTCTCTCTTAAAAATAAATAAATAAATGAATAAATAAAATAAAAAAATAAAAACTTGTCTGCTCGGAAGTCTTTGAACTTATGTAGAAGATAAATCGCACTTAGAAACTGTATTCTTAACATTATGTACAAATACTATTTTTAAAATTTTTTTTAGTTGTCAATGAACTTAATTTTTTTTAATTTTATGCCATTATACACGTCCTCTTTTTTTGCATTACAATTCTTAATACACATATATACCACAATGCGGTGCTGAGAATCCAACCCAGCCTCACACATGCTAAGCAAGTGCCCTACCACTGAGACCAAATACAACCCCAGCCCCGGACACTATTTTTAGAATGTAAATACACCAAGAGGTCTGAATTTACTACAGAGTGTTCTGTGAAAAATATGGCCTCTTGCCAAGTTACTGTGAACTCTGACACCAGTTACAATTCTCAAACCTGTGGACCGAGAACTGGTCTGGGAATAGTGGTTTGTAAGTCAAGGAATGTCATCTAGATTTCCCACATTTTACAAATGGTGAAAGGAAACCTAAAAGTAAAAGTATTTCCCGAAGATTGCAGTCAAAAATAGAATTTTTTGTTTACGAGTTCAAATATCAACTGGACATAAGGCCAGCAAAGCTAAGTGAGATAATCAACCAGCTTGTTTCGACCTCTATCTACTTACCCCACAGGAAATTTGTGAGCGCAGCAGTAAACGTTTGGCAAATGTCGGGGCTTCCCTACGGCAATTCTTAGCCTCCACCTCGTGGAAACGAGAAAATGCAGTTGCGAAGAACTACATCATTCAGTTCTTATCATGGTGAAGAACTGAGTTTGGACCGCGAATAAAAATATTGTAAAGGCATCCTGACGCTGGGGGGCGCCAGACTCTGTTTTACAGGGTCCATCGAAGCACTTCACGGAAGTTCGGGTGCCCTCAACAAAGAGGGCGCCCGGTGACGTAGGCAAGTCAGATTGCTCTGCGCAGGAGCCGCATTTCGCTCGCTCCCCTGGTATTCGCCTAGGAGAGCTCTAGCGTAGCCAATCAGTACGGTTCCGCAGCCGCATGCGTCTGACGTCAGAAGCCGGGGCTGGCCCGAGTTTTAATTTTGGCGGGTTCCACGGTAGACTGGGTCTCGTAGCCGGCGCCTGGTGAGAAACGCGGGTTTTGGGCGTGCGGGTGGCCCTCGCGCGTCTGTGGGAGGATTTGGAGGAGTCTGAGCATGAGAGGCGCAGAACCGTGGGCGCTCGAGTGGGCGAGGTCCGGGATCGGGCTGCAGCGGGGGCGAGCTGCTGAGCACCGGCTTGGAGCGGGTGCACTAAGGGTGCGGCACGGCGGGGAAGGCGCCTGGGCTCCGGGTCTCCTACTTAAGAAATCAGTTTTGTTTTGTTTTTTAAAGAGTAATCTTTAAAAATGCTTGTCAAATGAATGCCTTTTGTTCATTATTGATTCGTTTCTTTGTTTGTCTAATCAGTAATTTAATTTCCTAACCAGTATTGAAAGCGTGCATTTGCCGGCCTCCGGACACAGGATGTCTACCCTTAGGAGGAGGCTTGCGGTCTAAGGAGGAAAGTAAATAACAAACAAGTTCACGGTGATGGATGATGTGCCATGAGATAGTCGAAAGGATATCTTCCTTTCCTCTATGATGAGAAGAATACAGAAGGAAGCTTGCAGATAGGCTGCTCTGGAAAGACTTAGAAAAATGGAGAGTTAAGTGAGGATGAGAAGCTCTGGTGGAGCTTTCCAAACAAAAGTGCCTGAGGCCTGAAAGTAGGCCAGTCTGGCTGGAGCATAGTTTGGGAGGTGGGTAGAGTTGGATGGGGTATATACAGAAAAGATGAGGAAGTAGAAATACAAGGTGAGACAGTATCCATTGCCTCACAGGCTTTGTAAATTTAGTTTTTAAGTGCAATGAAAAACCATTAAAGAATTTCAGTTAAGGAAATACTATGATCTTGTATGTGTTCCTAAAAGTTTACTAGGGAAAGATTACAGTGACTGTTGTATGAAAAATAGATTGTAGGAAGCAAAGGAACCAATATAGGAAGCTAACATAATAGTCCAGATAAAAGATTAATGGTGGCTCATATTAGGGTTTTGTCAGTGAGGTTGGAGAGAACTGAAAGATTTGAGCTATAGTTTGGCGATAAAACCCATAATACTTGTTGAATGGCCCTGGATATGAGAGTGAATGAGTATATTCTGAGAGAAGGTGGGGGCTGGTTATAGCAGTGAACCAAGTTTGCTCCTAACTCTCCACTGGATTCCCTGGTGAATAATATCCTACATTACACACGATGGGGTCCATGGAAATGTTTGTTCAATAAATAAAAAGAAAGCACCATAATCAATATCTTGACATTGCACTTGTGAAAGTGACATATATGTAAGTTAAGTCTAAATAGCCTTGCAATTTAGTAAGTCACTTTAAATGAAAAACTGGAGAGCACACAGAATGATATATTTTTATCTTCAAAAGCTCCTCTGTGCTTTGCTAACTAGTATTGAATTAAAATTCTGACAAAGGCTGGAACTAAGTAGTTACACACTAAGCCACTATGAATAAAGTCAACATCATTTGCATTATAATAATATGGGATACCAGCCCTAATATTTAGACCAGCCTCAATAATTCTTATTCATAGTCTGTCTCATTTCTACCACCTTGTATTATACAAACTACTCTACATTTCACCAGTGAATGATTTCTGTAATCATAGTGTGAAGACAAGTAAAAGAATATTATTTACGTGTAAAGAGGAGATCGTGTTGGCTGTGGGCAGAGAAAAGATGAGAAATTGTCAGATTCTAGATGAATTCTAAGGTTATAGCCCATGGGATTTGTTGGATATGCACTGTTAGACCAAAAAGAATCAAAGGTGACTTCTTGTGTTGATTTCACACAGCCAAGATTCTACAGTACTCATCCTCTTGGCCATCTAATCCTCCTTCAGTTCCTGGTCACAACTTTTGACAGCATGGATGGTAAGACCTGGTTATTTTCTTAATTTCTCTTTGTTTCATGGAAAACCACCCTTTCCTGCATGGACTTGTTATTCTATTTACAAAATAGTGAAAATGCTTTCCTACTCTGAGCATAATATTATTTCAGTGGTTCAAAAGAGATCTCATTTTAGTCTCTGAATGTTATTTGTTTTCACCAGGTGAGATTTTTCTTTTCCCTCTGGCAACTGTAATTGTCTTTCATAATACTGCTTGCTGAGGTTCTTAAAATGTGGCAAGCATTTGCTAAGATCCTTACATATATTAATTTACTTAATTTTCACAGCCACTGTATTTTATAGACAAGAAGTCAGGGATTTTAGTAACTTATCACAGGTCAAACTGTCAGATCAGGGATTTGAACCAGGAAGTCAGACCTCAGGAGCTTCCATTTGATGTGGAAATATGTTGAAATCGTTTTAGTCTTAGTCTAGATCTGACTTAAAATTCTGACTGTCCTTTCTTCTTTTGAGGGTGATGATAGTGGGGGATTGAACCCAGAGTTGCTTAACCACTGAGCCACATCCCCAGGGTACCTCCCACCCCCAAGGACAGCATCTCTCAAAGTTAAAACTTCTTAACAGTCTTTTCTGTTGTTGTTTCAATGTTGGGGATTGAACCCAGGTCCTTGTATATGCTAGGCAAGCACTGTCCCACTGAGCTACATCCCCAACTCTTAACAGTCCTTTCTAACTTTCATTTTTTCATAGATGTGTACACAATACTAGTCAGTAAAGAGATATTTCTCTTATTTGCAAAGCTTAGCCTGAAGCAGCATAAAAATGACTGTGTTGATTGTAAAGGGATCTTGACAAATAAAATGCATTATTTTTCTGGTTGCATATTTGAGGTCATTGTTTGAAACTAGATTTTTTAAAATATTCAAGATTATTATACTTTTTAAAGGAAAAAAGATTATAAAACTGAATGTAGAAATTCATTACCCTGTGATATATATGAAACTCATTGCAATTCCTGTAGCATAGTTTATGTAACACAAACCATAACTTTTTCTATGAGGTGGTCATGAAAATAAGAGGTGCTTGGATATGTGCTAAGAAATCATAGTATCCAATAGGAAAAACTAATTTGGTTGGCATGGCTTCACAATTTGGCCAAAGTAAAGAGAATAAAAAGTTTACTGGTACTGGGGATACACTGTCCTGCTTACATTTTCATCAAGGGAGTAAGATAATAACAAATTAAAAGTTAAAAACAACAACAACAAACTATCTTACCACGAGTCTCGAGAATGACTTTGTCTGCTGATAAAAATGCTCAGAAGAAAAAGAAAAATTGTTGATGCAGGAGACAGAGTTGGTAATTGTAGAGTGACATTCTTGAAGCTGAAGGAAAGGGAACTAGTATATAAACAGGAGAATTTGCTATAAATAGGACTGCACACTATCCATTGTCAGGAGGTAAGCAGAGAACATAGTTCAGATTTGGTAGTGAAAAATGAGGAAGCTAGTTACTTCTATTTATTCTGCAAAATATAAATCAAGGTCATCAGCCAAGAGTAAAGAGGGGTGGGGGTATAGGTGGTTTGAGGAAAGGCTGTGTGAAGTAGGGAAAGGGAAAGGAAATGTATTGGGGAAGCATTTTTTGAGCATTGTTGAATGCCTGTTTGATATTGCTGGCATAAATTTAAAAGTAGGCCAGTTAGCATGATAACATGTCTTTTCCCAGTAATATTGACCAGGTAGCATGCTGGCATAGAGGTGGTAGTTGGTTGGACTTATTCATGGTTAAGATTTTGTCAGGGAACTTGAGAACATGTGAGAGAAGCATGGGAATTAAGAGTCTTTGGGGGCTAATGATGGAGCCCCCTGGGAGCATTTGCCTAGCATGCACCTGGGTTCATTCTCCAGTACTATGAAAAAAGAAATGAAAAGAAAAAGAGTCAAGCCCTCTTCCTATGATGTACTATCTTTGGCAGCTAGAAATAAGAGGTAGTAGAGGCCTCTCTGCTTTGATTTAGAGATGTTGCAATTTCTCTGAAGCACAGGGAGCTAGGATCACCTCTCTTCTCATGCTCCATGCTGCAGTCTTGAAGTCTTTGTTGACCAAACAATTGAAACCAATTTTTATATGACATCTGACTCTTAACCATTAGGCTTGTCAGAACATTCTAGAATATAAGTCTAGCCCTTTGCTCTTTCCATCTGCTATGAGAGTATAGAGTGGTAGAAGGGGTTGGTTTGTTGATCTAGAGAACTCCTTACTAATCCAGGCTGCCACTGTCTCCTGTGAATCTGAACAAGTTCCTACTCATTCCAGCCCTTAATCTTTCAAATGAGGGCAATCGGTCAGATATCCTTGACATTTTGCTTTAAATACCTCTGATTTTATAAAGGAATAGTGCCCAAATGTGGGGAAGAGGGAATGAGCAAAGAAAATAAGGTAATTAAGAAAGAAGAAATACAACTTGTCAGTAATCATAAAAGATTCTTAACCTCACCAGTAATCCAGGAAATGCCAATCAAAAGAGTGAGATAATTTTTAAGTCATCTTTGGCAAAAAAATTTCAAGATACTGGTGTCCTTGCACTTTGAGAACAGTTTAGCAGTATCTAGTAAAATAGGAAGTGTACATTCCCAACAAACCAGCAATTCACTTCCAAGAAACACACATGTGCAAAAAGATAAATATATATATATATATATATATATATATATGAATGGTTGCAGCATATTTAGAATTGGGAATAACCTAATGTTATTTATTACCAAATGGATTATTGATTCAGCCTTACTATAGAATATGATACAAAAAATAAAAGAAATAAACTAGAACTATTTTGATTTGGTCTAATTTTACAAGCAATATAGAATGACCAATGAATACCGAGTAATAAATACAGTGTGAAATATTTATGTGACTTTTTAAGACAACAATATCATACATTGATTCTTACTACCTATATATTTATGTAAAAGTATGGAAATGGGCCAGAATGATACCCCCAAATTATGAAAGTGATTGCTATAGAGAGTGGTAAGAAGTTGGGATAAGATCTGGCATGATAGATCCCTGCTAAGTGTTACTTAAAAGGCCAAAAAAAAAAATGTTAGTGATGGCTAATTCTGGATGATGGGACATGAATACTTTTAGTATACTTTTCTGTATTAAGAAAAAAAACAAAACTCAAAAATAGTTAAAAAGTAAGGAAGCAAACACAGCTAAGGCCTGAATCTATGTTTACTGTTTTTTAATTATTCTTTTGTTGGCTGAACCTCATGGAAGTTGTCATGCAGAAAGTTGTCTCATCAATTAAAGTAGCACAGGTAAAAAAGATGTAGCCCAGGGCCTGGGCCGCTGTAGTCACTAAGCAGATCCTAGTCCTTTCTTTCTTAGCCTTATGCCCTCTAAGAAGTATCTGAGTCCAGGAAATGTAGGTACAAGGAGAACAACAAGGTATCAGGCAAAATGGTGAATCTGTAAATTGATTTTAATAGTTTTGTTATGTTGAATGTTTAACTATGCTTGTCATGAGCAATTTCTCAGGTAGGCTTAATTTCCCACCTTTATTTCTTCCAGTGGAGGAAGATGATTTGTCTTTGCTAACGGCTCTGCTAGAGGAAAATGAGTCAGCCTTGGCTTGTAATTCAGAAGAAAGTAACTCCTTGCCCCAGGAAGATGGTAAACCTGACACGTTTGATGAACTCTTTGATGCCGATGGTGATGGTGAATCGTATACTGAAGAGGCTGTTGACGAAATAGGAAAGATGGAAGACCAGAAAGAAAATTTGGCCACTCTCTTTGGGGACATGGGGGACTTAACAGATGAGGAAGAAGTTCCTACATTGCAATCAACTGAAAACAAGGTCCTCCTGGCTCCTGCACCTAGTCAAGAGAAAACCAATCAGGAGTTACAAGGTGCTCTAACCATTTGCCAACAGACTCCAAGACCACAACTATCCAAGAAAACTGATAGTTTTCATCAAAATGCTTGCTGATTCAAGGGTAGAGATAAATGACTTTGTAAAAATAAAAATTTTTTCAGTAGGTAGTTAAGACAGTAGATACTCAAATCTATGTTTCAGCATCCATAGGCTTCCTTGGATCATTGTCAGCCAGCCATAATTGATCCTCCACAGAATGGCTCTTTTCATGTGGTGCCGGGGATCAAACCCAGTGCCTCACGCATGCTAGGCAAGCACTCTACCACTGAGCCACAACCCCAGCTCTGTATAATTATTTCTTTGCTCCTAAAAATTAACTATACATATGCATCAATAATATCTGTGGTACAGATTCTTAACTGGCTTAGATATGAGAGTCTTAATTGCTTAGAAATGAAAAGTTTATTTCTCTGAGGGACCTCTTTGGAGTAAAAATTAAGCATGAGCTTTAAGTATGTGGTTATATTGAGAGTCTTAAGGTTTTGAGGTGGGGGACAGGCAAAATATTGCCAGCATTTTTCTCATGTATCCATTTTTTTCCTTCCTTGTTCTTAAATCTGTTTTTCTTTCCTAGATGAATTAAGGAAGTTGCAAGAGCGAATGAAATCCTTACAGGAACAGCTAAAAGCAGCATCACTTAAACAGCCTGCAAGTCCAGCCCTTCCACATAAATCCCTTGGTAATAAAACTGTAATTCTGATAATAGTATACATTCGTGTCTTTTAGAAATTGTAACATTATCCTTTGAATTCAACTCCTAGCAAAATAGCCTTTGAACCCCTTCCTAAATTGGTTTTTCTAATTTATTTTTAATCAAGAAAGTAAGTCTCCACGGCCCCTTCTTAAGGAGAAGAAAGTTCAGAGAATTCAGGAATCAACATGCTTTTCTGCAGAGCTTGATGTCCCTGCCCTACCAAGAACAAAGCGAGTAGCTCGGAAACCAAAGACTTCTACAGGTGTGATACTCAAGGCCTCACTGGTTGCCACTGCTCTCGCTCTGTTTAAAATATATTTTGGCATTGTCGTGTGTGTGTGTGTGTGTGTGTGTGTGTGTGTGTGTGTGTCTATCTATAGTCTTTTGGTCTGTCTTATGTCCCCACTGAGAAAAATAAGTTTCTTGGGAATGGAAACCATATGATATATTTTGTGCCTTTCCTGTACATCTCAAAGTACTTAGAAAACCCTTAGGTATGCAGTAAATGCTTACTGAATAGTTAATAGGTTGAATTATTTTAACCATGTAGTCTTAAAGTTGTACTTTGGACTGAAGTATAACATGTAGATGAAGTTCTCATGCTGGGAATATGGAAATTTAATCTTCGGGCTTGGGAGAGTAAGGCACATATGCCCTTAAAATGGTAAAACTTTATATGAAACTGGGTTGTATTAAGCAATGTTCATTCTTTGAGGGAATGGGGTTTTGGCTTAGTGGTAGAGAACTTGCCTAGCATGCGTGAGGCACTGGGTTCGATCCTCAGAACCACATATAAATAAAACAAATGTTCATTGAACTAAAAAAAAAAAAAGCTTCTTTGCCAGGAGTATAGAATGGTAAGCAAATACACACACACACACACACACACACACACACAATGAAAAGAATTTATAGACCCTATATTGGTCTTGGTTTATTGCTTCAGTTTGTCCAAAGTGATTATTCTTCAAAAAAACTTGAGACAAAATGGTCTGGAGATAAAGAAGCCTAAATGAAGCAGTATTTATTGGTCATGTTTGTTCAAAAAAGCCCTTTTGAATAGCTTTGACCTATGATGTGGTAATGGAGAATAGTTGCAGTCTTGGCGTGGTCATATTAACTTGATAGCAAGTTCTATATTGAGTTTATTCACTCATGAAAATTGTCCATTCTCTTGAGACCTTTGGCATTACTAGCATGTTTCATTAGGCAGTTTTCAAAGATTTGTTTTGAGGAGGCAGGACATGGACATGGTTTCTAATTCTAAAATTCTAGAGTTGTCACGACTCCTAGCTTGGGAGCAATGATCCAAAGTCCCTTTGACATAATCTTATATAACAAGGGAAATTTTATTATGGAAAATACTCAAGCTTTCTGATCTTTGGGAGCATTACAAACACCTCCAAAATGAAAAAGTAACCACATCAGGGATATTTAATGCAAATAATAATCAGAATACCCTGCTACCCCTTTTTCTCCCCTGTCTTACAAATGGAATGGAAAGTCAAAAGGGAAATTAACTTTAGATATGCCCAAGTTAGAATTTGATCTGTGCATAGATCTCTTCTAATTATTTATTCCTAAAGGAAGGCTTTCACTTCTGAATGGAATCTACTGAAATCTTGTATATGGTAAACATTCAATAAGTATCATTACATAGAATATAGGTATTTTAGAACTGCACATTCTAATACAGTAACCACTGGCCACATGTATCTATTTAAATTAGAAACTTATTTCCTTAGAAGCACCAGTCACATTTTAAGTAATCAGTGGCTACCTGTAACTGGTGGCTACCATCATATTGTGTTGGGCTGTTTTGCAGAGATTTTGAGGGTAGGTTAGAAATGGTCTTGTGGGCTTCATTTTGTTCTGTCTTCATTTTGTTTGTTTTGCATTAGTTGATTAAAAAAGAAACTGTAAAAACAAATTTTGCATTCATCCATCATGGCTTTCTTTTCACTGAATTTTTAAGGTAACTTTCTAGAGGCCAAGAGCTCATTTTCAAAGATGACAAGTGCACCCTCCCAACCACTCCAAACTGTTCCTGGGAACAAACCCAGTGGGATAACTAGAGAACAGAGCTTGGGGACACCAGGGAATTCTGGGGCACTACCAGCTCAGCAGGTCTCTGTGGAAGCCTTCTCTGGCCTGCGACTCAGGTCAGTATGTGTAACAATCCTCTTATTTCCCTCATTTGCACCACTAGGTGGCTCTTCTACTCAGTAGACAGAAACTTCTAGAAGTAGCATGTTGGTGCAGCAGATTGACAGAATACCAACAACTCTTGAACTGTACAAAACTTGGCAATAAGACCAGCAGTAGCACTGGGTTTGACTCAGGACAGTTGCATATGAAATGTTTAAGGAAGACTTATTCTTGTTTTCATGATGAATAAAGAATATCTGTTAAGAAGAAAATGGAAATATAGTATATTTAATTAGAAACTGAGGTGGAAACAGGGATATTCACTGTTTTAAGGGTTTTTTTTCATCTTTATTTAGGTATAATTTAGTCTACTTTTTATTTTTGTGGTACTAGTGGATATAGAATTTTTTAAATATATATAGGTGAATGAGGATAGTAGAGTTTTTTATGAATATATAGTATGGGCAGAGACAGAATAGATCTTCATATTCTATTATAGAAGAACAATTTGAAAATTCACCAGATTTTGACAAATGATTAGGAATAAGAATATATTCATCAAGCTGAGCATGTGATCCATGCTGATAATCCCAAGTACTTGGGAGGCTGAGACAGGAGGAAATAAGAATTCAAAGCCCATCATCAACTTTGCAAGACCTTAAGCAACTTAGCAAGACCCTGTCTCTAAATAAAATATAAAAAAAAAGGCTTGGATGTGGTTCAGTGGTTAAGCACCCCTGGGTTTAATCCTCAATACCAAAAAAAAAGAGAATGTATTCATCAAAGCTAAATTCAAAAGCCTTTATTGTTGTGAGAGTATTTGTTTTTTAAAAAGTCTGGTTGGAAATAGTAGAACCTGTAAAATTCTTGAAGAACTGATGAGCTTTAAATATCAATTCAGTTTTATAAAAATTTTTAAAAAGAATGTTATAACATGTTATAACTTATTAGCACTTAAAGGATTTGTGATTTTTTTTTTTTTCTATTCTGTGTAAATCCCAGATCTATATTTGTGGAAAGGCAAACCTCACTTTAAAAATTATCTGATTTTTATTTATCTGCTGTAAAAATGTGTGTATTGTTTATATTATATAACTTAATCCCTTGAGAAACTGTAGAGGTGCGTGCCTGTAACACCTCCTCTTATCACCTGCTTAAGATGCCAGATGTCTCTTTTTAGAATTATATTCTGTTTATTGCTGGTTTCTTAACTTAGGCGACCTAGAGTATCCTCCACAGAAATGAACAAGAAAATGACTGGCCGAAAATTAATCAGACTGTCTCAGATAAAGGAAAAGATGGCAAGTGAGAAACTGGAAGAAATGGACTGGGTGACATTTGGGGTTATAGTGAAGAAAGTCACTCCACAGAGTACTAACAATGTGAGCCATGCTATTGATTTCTGAGCTGCTTCATTGAAAACTGATAATGGAACTTACATCCTTAATTTTTTACTTGTCAGTATATTTCACTTTGAAAAATCTAGTTCACTGTCCTTGTGTTGGTACAAAGGGGAATATGTAAAGAATGCCCTAGCTTTTAAAAAGCTAGTTATATAGGTATCTTGGGCTTTTCATTGTTCAAATCATTCTCATAGTATTTTATACATGTGGACATCCATGTGACACTGTAATCCTTCCTGTGGAGGAGAGAAGGGCAAGTAATCAGAGAGGCTGAATTCACAGATCTTTTGGAGATCTCTGTAAATGCAAAGTATCAATCACAAAAGTGCTGAAATCTCTGGCCTATGGCAACACAATATGGTATCTTTAAGTTGGTGGCTCTCCCAAAAGATCTCCCAAGTTTCAAAATTGCAATTGACTGAGGCATAGTGTGAGGAAAAACTCTGTGACCTAGCAAGGGAAAAAAACCTGAGTTCTAAGCTTCGTTCTCCCTTAAAATAGTGGTAGGTCCTCAGGTTGACTCTTAATCTTTCTTGAAAGACTTCCATTTCTTATCCACAAAATGAAGCCTGGCTTTGGTTATATTGAAAATCCATTCCAGCTTTAAAATATTGTGCTTAATCATGCTCAATCTGTTATTATTTTCCAATTTAGATTTTTCCAACCATGGATTGTTTATAAGATCTGACACCAAGATTGAGCCCTATTACTATTGGGATAAATGTGAACAAATATGGTTTTCATTTAATTAAGTTCTTAATTGTTTCACACTGGCTATGATGACATTGAAACAGTAGATGTGAAAGTTTATCTCAGCTCTTCCAAGAAAGACATTGCATGAACCCATGGAAGAATAATTATAATGCTTTATAGTACGGGCACTAACTCACTAATTAGACCTGTCCTAGGACACCCCTGTTGAAATAGTTTGTTTCAGTGTTATTCAAACAGTTCTGTTTTTTAAAATGTGTCTTTGGAGGTTATTCATGTTATAAGTGATTCACATTTTGAGTTGTTTTCTCTAAATATTTAATAATACTTCTGAAATTTTAAAGCTCAGCCAATTTTCTTTAACCAGTTAAGTCCCAGGTTTTGAATTCTTGAATATCTCAATGAAATTGACACAGAGGCATTAAAATAGGTTGGAAATCATAATCTAGAGCTTATTATATAACTTATTATCATTAATAATGTTAATTATGTCAATAATATTGATGGATACTATTGCTAATCATTCACCTTCTTTTCTCAAAAGAATGGATCTCCAAAAACAAATATTTATGTCAAAGTTACCATAAGTGGTATATATGTTGCTCGATTTAGGTTTTATTTTTTTTTATGTAAGTTTTTAAAATTTATATATAACAGCAGAATGCATTAGAATTCTTATTACATATATAGAGCACAATTTTTTTTATATCTCTGGTTATATTCATAGTATATTCACATCAATTCATATCTTCATACATGTACTTTGGATAGTAATGATCATCACATTTCACCATCATTTCAATTTAGGTTTTCTAGGTATTTCATAAACGGGAAAATGCGCATAATAAATTAATCAGTGATAACTGATAGATACCAAGTTGTTTACATGTATAAGTTTATGTCAGTAAGTTATTAAATGGTAACACTGTAGCTTCTTGTCCTCTTAATGGTGTGTGCCAGGGGTGGCGGTTAAAAAGGCGGTGCTGGCCCACTGCATGGGATTAGCAGACATTTGATGATTGTATTTTTGGGATTCATTATATTTTTGTATTTTCCTGCAATGAAAAACTTGAACTGCTGGGCATGGTGGCACACACCTGTAACTCCAGCAGCTTTGGAGGCTGAGGCAGGAGGATTGTGAGTTCAAAGCCAACCTCAGTAATTTAGCAAGGCCCTAAGCAACTTAGTGAGACCCTGTCTCTAAATAAAATATATAAAAGGGCTGAGGAACTGGCTCAGTGGTTGAGCACCCCTGGGTTCAATCCCTAGTATCAAAAACAGTACTTTAGCACCTGAACCATAAATAGAGACAGGGTAATCAACAATTCAAAAATTCAAATTAAAAATAGAATAAAAATTCTTTTCAGGGGAAAACATTTAGCATTTGGCGACTAAATGATCTTCGTGACCTGACACGATATGTGTCATTATTCTTGTTTGGGGAAGTTCATAAAGGACTCTGGAAAACGGAGCAAGGTACTGTCATAGGATTGCTAAATGCTAATCCCATGAAGCCCAAGGATGGTTCAGAGGAGGTAAGAATGTGTCTATGATTATATTGATTGATTGTTTTTACAAAATTAGCTGAGTTTTATAAAAAATGTTTGTATTGGTCTACCCCCAAAAAATGAGTCATGCTTTTATATTATTGTCTCCATTAATCTGGTGTTTGTTAATCATCCACAGTGTTCTGAATTTCTACCTACTCCAAAGTATTTTGTAACAACTACCTTCACTTTATCTTTTCAAATTAGTTCCAAGGTTCCTAGAGTTTTTTGAACTCTTATGCTCAGGTTTCCTTAGATCCCTTACATAAAATTTTCATGGTAGCCTCAAGGAATTTTGCTCCATTAATTATTACAGTCATAACTGTAGTTTAGAATCAAAGCCTCTTCTCAAGCCATCCACTGCTTCTCTAATAAATTACAAATCTAGACCCAGTATGAATTAGCACCAAGTAATTTCTTTACCCTCATCCAGCAAGCTTTGCCTTTTTGTCAGATTAAATTCAAAAGTAAGGAAAGGAAAAAAAAATGTTATTTCACTCCTTGTTTTCATCAGATCTTCATCTGTTTGTTGGGAATGTGTTTGTCTACAGGTAATAGGAAAATTTCATTATAGTTTGTTTTTTAAAAAATAAATGGTGGGGTTTGTTTTTCTTACATGATAAAAATCTAAACATGGGCAGTATAGTAATGTCATGGCAATGACTCTGTGAGTCTCTGACTTTCCCCCTTACTTACAAGATGACTGAAGTTCCAGTCATCACTGTGGAGCAGAATTACTGTATCAGATACCACTCCCAGTAAAGGACTCGAAACACCTTGCCAATTTCTGCTAGAATTTTAGATCAGGCAAGAGGCTTATGCACAAACCCGACTGCCAGAGTTTGAGTCCATTGATGCTGAATGCTCTCACAAGCCAGGCAAAGTAACTTTATTACTTATAGATAGGTTCTAATAATCCATAGAAGCCCATGATCCATAGTTAACTGATCCCCCTAAGACTTAGGAAAACTAGCCAGTTTCCAAAAGTACTCTACTCTAGACTGTATAACACACCAACCTCAAGTATTATAGGACATCCTGTTTTAAGAGGGTTGAGGATAAAAATCTAGGCTCTTCAGGACAGTTCCTCCTTATATTAGGACCTGTTTTCATAATACATTCTGCCTGAGAATTGCAAGCAAGAAGGGGGAGAACTGGTTGTCCTCCTGTAATCATATCACCATTCAAGGCAGCAAATGAAGAGGAAGGATGAGCCAGCCACTGTCTCCTACTAGGAAAGCAAGGGCTTTCCTACCAATTTCTGCTGAAGTCTCATTGGCTAAGTCTTGAGACTTATAGCTAGACCATTGCTGGGAAAGCAAAATGGGATCCCTTTTCTGAGGCTGAGCTTTTGCAAGTCCAAACAAAAAAAACCAATTCTAATAGCCAAGAGAAAGGAAGAGATCATTACTGAGAAGAAAGCTGAATGTTTTCTCACTTCTAAATCTCTTTTATAGAGCCCCAGTTTTAAATTCCTTTGGACCAATAAGTCTTAAATCAGTACCAACCATTCTTTTATCCATTCTTGCTACTAAGAGACCCTGCTTTTGTCTGCTTTTAACTCTTACCCTGCTTTTTTTTCTTTAGGTGTGCTTGTCTATTGATCATCCTCAGAAGGTTTTAATTATGGGTGAAGCTCTTGACTTGGGAACATGTAAAGCCAAGAAGAAAAATGGAGAGCCTTGTACACAGACTGTTAATTTGGTTGGTTTCAAACTTGTTTAAGATGGCTTCTGCTAAAGAAAAGTAATTAGGATTAGAGTTTAGTTATTTTAGCTGAAATGATTAAATTGGAACTGAGTTTCCTACTTAACAGGAATACTCAAAATGAGAAAGTGAAATGTGTGGTTAATAATTGCCAGTTTAAAAAGCTAAGGGTAGGGAGGTTTTTCACTGCCAACAATGATGAAATACACCAGGAAGCTTATTTTAGTCTATACTCTAATATAACTTCCTTATGACTCTTTTAAAAAAAAAAAAATAGCTTCATTGATATGTAAATCATACACCATACAACTCAACCTTTTAAATATATAATCAGTAGTTTTTTAGTGTATTCAGAATTGTGCAACCATGTAATTCAGAATACTTTCATTACCTCAAAAAAAAACCCATACCCATTAGCAGTCATTCCCCAGTCCCTCTTCTTCCAGCCTCTGGTTAGCACTAGTCTACTTTCTGTGTCCTCATTTGCCTATTCTAAATATTTCATAGAATGTGATCACAGAATGTGACCTTTTTGACTGATTTCTTTTGCCTACCACATCTTTTAAGTTTCACCCATATTGTAATATTCTTTCATTTCTTTTTATGGTTAAATAATATTCCCTTGCATGAACAGACTGCATTTTGTTTATCCATTCTTCAGTTGCTTGACATTTGAGTTACATTTGGCAGATATGAATAATGCTGCTCTAAACATTTAGGGGACTCTGCATGTAGACAGTGTTGTGAGGCTGAAAAGAGGCTCTTTCTGCCTGCAGCTCCCAGGGCTTCAACCCTATTCCTCATCAACTGCTCTTCTTTGCAGAATGACTGTGAGTACTGTCAGTATCACATCCAGGCTCAGTACAAGAAACTCAGTGCAAAGCGAGCTGATTTGCAATCCACCTTCTCCGGAGGACGTATTCCAAAGAAATTTGCACGCAAAGGTGCCAGTCTAAAAGAGCGCCTGTGTCAAGATGGTTTTTACTATGGAGGAGTGTCTTCTGCATCATATGCAGCTTCCATGTAAGACATTCTCAGGACTTCTTTTGGGGCAAGAGTTTTGTTTGTTTCCTAAGAGTAAACCCAGTGGTTGGACTTTTCTGTAACTGACCTAGGATACTTGTCCAGGTTTTATCTTTCATAGTTTCCTGCCTGCAATGTGGTAGACAAGGACTTCTATTCTTAGAGAGAAAAGCATACAGAAGGGAGTGATTAGGCAGTCATGATCTTTAATCAGAGCCCATACTTTTTTTTTAGCTTATAACACAAATGGTGTAATTTTGTGGGGGCTGTCGGCATACCATTGAGAGTAAGCTCATCATAGTCTTAATAGCCCTTGAGTCAATTCTGTTGTGACTATTTGATCAAGGTTGCAGATCTCTTAGAACCCAATTTAAATTTAGTGAACACACCCTATGAAGTCTCACATAAGGGTGGGATGCTGCAGGGCAGACACTCAGACTGTAGAACTCTAGAGTTCCTGAAGTAGATGATCGATGGCCCTGTCACTATATTGTAAGGAGCACATCTGAAGATATGACAGGTGGGACTTGGCACAAAGGAGCTTTAGTTGGTTTATCATTAAACACATTTTGTTCCCAATACAACAGGAATTAAGCAAGAGGATTCACACTTCCTGTTTATTTGATAATATCAAACACATTTTTATGATTTAAAATAATTTCAGTATTTTTTCCACATTGCTAAAAAGAAATATCTGTTCATTATTTTAAAATAAGAATATACAATTCAACCAAAAGAAGAAAGTAAAAGTCACCTATAATCCTACCACCTAGAAAATGATTAGCTGTTTGGTATTTATGCACCCAGGTGTTTGGGTTTTTTTTGTTTTAAGTTTGAATTTTTGGTAATATTAAGTGAGCCATATTATACATTTCTTTGTGACCCCTTTTTTTCCTCACAAAATAGTGTTTTCCTAGTCAAATATTTAATGTCATTATTTTTAGTGGTTACCTGCTATTCTTATTCTTGGCTCTTTTAAACACTTAGAGGAACATTAATGGTGATTCTAATTTATAACATCATAAACTAAGCTATCCTCAATTTTTAGTTACTATCCTCAATTTCTACACAAAGCTTAATCATCTTAAGACAAATTCCTGGACTTCTAGAATATTGACATATTTTGTATTTCTTTTGCCCTTCCAAAATGGCCTCAGGCAAATTTGTAGGTTGCCTCTTATTCTCCACATAAACCAGTTACACTGCCAAGTCATGGCATTAGTAAAGCCTACTTACATGGTGCTTTGAGAGACTTCAACAGTTGGTAGTAAATACATTTAATATTTATTTCTGTGACCTTTACTCGTCAGAGCATTGGAGTTGGTGCTTTTTCTTTCATGGTGTGGGTCTTGTCATTTCAGTGCTGCGGCTGTTGCTCCTAAGAAGAAGGTTCAAACTACTCTAAGTAATCTGGTTGTGAAGGGCACAAACTTGATCATTCAGGAAACTCAGCAAAAACTCGGTAACTTAGTTTCTTCATCATAAATTTCTTTCTCCAGTTGAAATATGTTTTATTTGGCTTATACTCTTAGGTGCTGAATATCCAGCCATCACTTGCACTTAATGCATAATATGGCCTAAGCTAAAGGCATGAAGCCCAGTAGCGGGACATAAAGGAAACGTACATGTTGATCTTAGCTGTGCCTTGGCTTTGTGTGCTTTAAGATTTCCTAGTGTATCTGGGTCAGACTCTTAATATCCAGCATTAGAATCAGTGGTTTTAAATTCCTGGTCAGTCCTATCAGTTATCTTTTGTTAAAATAATTCTAAATCAGAGAATGCCAGCCTATTGTGTACTTTTGGTCTTAACATGGCCGAGGCCTAGCATAGAAATAGTGTCTGAAACAACCCCACAGATATTAGTGCCTAGTGTTCTAGTCATTACTAAAAATAACATACTTACAATACCCTTGCAGTCCTAGACAGATGTTAGGGGTCAAGGGCTCTGTATTTTCTCTTGACATTCCATTGCTTTATTTTAAATGATGAAATTGTGATGAGTACAGGGTTTTTAAAATGACACATCCTAGGGCTGGGGTTGTGGCTCAGTGGCAGAGCACTTGCCTCTCACATGTGAGGCACTGGGTTTGATCCTCAGCACCACATAAAAATAAATAAACAAAATATATTGTTTCCATGGATAACTAAAAAATATATTTAAAAAAAAAATGACACATCCTATGACATCAAACCATCTGAATTTTAGATCCTTTCTAAAGCCAATGTTTGCACATCCCAGGAATTTCCCAGAAGGCCTTATCTTGCTCTGAGGAGTTCAGGGAACTGATGGACCTGCCAACATTTGGAGCCAGAAACTTAAAAGAACACTTAGCAAAAGCCAAGGCTTCAGGTACAGTCAGCTCACAGGCGGCAGTGTGGGCCCTAGTTCTTGGTTCTCAGGGAATCCCTAAGATGGGCTTGTGTTTCAGGGATCATGGGAAACTCAAAACCTGCCATCCAGTCTATCTCAGCATCGGCCCTCCTGAAGCAGCAGAAGCAGAAAATGTTGGAGATGAGGAAGAGGAAATCAGAAGAAATTCAGAAACGGTAAGAGGAGCAGATTTAACATTCACTGTTTTGGTAACTTATCTTGGGAATCCTTTGAATTTCTTAATCAATTTCAATTTCAAAATGTGACTTCAGATTTTGGTTGGATACCTTTTTGTCATCACCTGAAGAGCACTGAAGGCTCTACATTTCTAACTTAAGCTAGTGACTCCTGAGACCAGATGTAGATTAGTTAGTACCACTGTGGAAAAAGAGAAAGTGAAGCATGAAGAGGATTTTTATAGAAAGGGAAGATATGTTCACTTGTTTGGCTCTCGTTTTTTTTTATTTTGTTACAATTAGGTTTTTAAATACAGGCAGAGCCAATGAGTAAATTGTTATACTTAGTTATTCAGATAAATAAGAAAAATGAGGCACTAAAAATAAGGAGTCATTTTTGAAGTAAAATCAAGTGGAAATAGGGAGGGTGGACAAATCAGAGATTCCTGAACTCAGGTTGTCTGGATAGTGATAACACCCACTGTTTATAGGTGCTTACGTGCACCAAGCAGTCACTCCCTGAATACAGATTTCATTCAGTCCTCAACCTGACAAGGTTTTATGGTCCTGGTTTTACTAATAATGTAACTGAAGGTAATAGCTGAGTTTCAGCCTCCACCCATTCTACTACACTGTTTTAACCAATCTGCTGTCCCAAGTCTGGGCTGCTAAAAAGGTGAATGGTTACATGGAAACTCAATTAAAAGTCAAGGGGAGGGGCTGGGGATGTGGCTCAAGCGATAGCACACTCACCTGTCATGCGGGCAGCCCGGGTTCGATCCTCAGCACCACATACAAAGAAAGATGTTGTGTCCGCCGAAAACTAAAAAATAAATATTAAAAATTTCTCTCTCTCTCTCTCTCTCTCTCTCAAAAAAAAAAAAAAAAAAGTCAAGGGGAAATTCTTTGGAAAAATAAGAGAAGGGTTTGATCTCAGGCAGCTTAGTTTGAGATTCTGATAGGATATCTACAGAGGTATTTATCATGTGCCTCCAGGTGACATAAATATATATACGCACATTAAAATATAGTGGGTTGTGAGCCTATTGGGAAATAAATATTACCTGTCAGCTAGAAGGCATTATAGTATGACATTTTTCAGGATTTTGCTGGCAAAACAAAACATACCTTCAGGCAGAATTTGATAGGCAGTTTGCAAACTAGCCTAGAGCTCACAGGAGTGCTCAATGATAGAGAAAGGAATACTGGCCTGAGATTACCTGCTACCAGTTGTGAGTCTGTCATTTGTAAGCAATGTGACCTTGGGCCTCAGTTTCTTCATCTAAAAATGAAGGGTTTGAACGAAATGATTTTTGAGGTTCACTATTTTGTTGTTGTATTTCTTAAATTGTGGGTTTGTTTTTTTTTTAAATATAAGGGCATTTTCCAAAAAGAATTTGAAGACTACCAAAGGGTTTTTGTTTTAATTTTTTTATTTGTTCTAATTGGTTATACATGACAGTAGAATGCATTTTGACACATTGTATACAAATGGAGCATAACTTTTCATTCCTCTGGCTGTACATGGTGCAAAGTCACACCAGTAGTGTAATCATACATGTATATAGGGCAATGATGTCTGTTTCATTCTACTGTCGTTCCCATCCCTATACTCCCTCCCTTCCCCTCACTCCCCTCTGCACAAGCCGAAGTTCCTTCATTGTTCCCAAACTCCCTTCCCCCGTCATTCCCTCCTGCCCATGTATACACACTTGGATTAGCATCTGCTTATCAGAGAAAATATTCCGTCTTTGGTTTTTTGGGGTTTGGCTTATTTCACTTAGCATGATTTTCTCATTTACCTGTACATGTCATAATTTCATTCTTCTTAAACCTGAGTAATATTCCATTGTGTATATGTACCACATTTTCTTTATCCATTCATCTGTTGAAGGGCATCTAGGTTGGTTCCATAGTTTTGCTATTCTGAGTTGAGGTGCTATAAAACACTGATGTGGCTGTGTTACTGTAGTATGCTGATGTTAAGTCCTCTGGGTATAAACCGAGGAGTGAGATAGCTGGGTCACATGGTGGTTGCATTCCCAGTTTTCTGAGGAATCTCCATGCTGCTTTCCATAGTAGTTGTACCATTTGCAGTTCCCCCAGCAATGTGTGAGTGTGCCTTTTTCCCCATAACCTCACCAACACTTATTATTACTTGTATTCTTGATAATTGTTGTTTTGACTGGAGTGAGAAAATCATAGAGTAGTTTTGATTTGCATTTCTCTAATTGCTAAAGATGATGAACATTTTTTCATATGTTTGTTGGTAAATTCTATTTCTTCTGTGAAGTATCTATTCACTTCCTTAGCCCATTTATTGACTGGATTATTTGTTTTTTTGATGTTAAGTTTTTTGAGTTATTTATATATCCTGGAGATTAGTGTTCTGTCTGAGGTGTGTATGGTAAAGATTTTATCCCATTCTGTAGGCTCTCTCTTCATGTTATTGTTACCTTTGCTGAGAAGAAGCTTTTTAGTTTGGAGATTCACTCATTTTAAATAACTCTTAAAACCATGTATAATCACCATGAAGGTTACAATGCCTCTCTATTAAGGACTTCCAAATGCATCCTATGTTTTTTGTCTTCCCAGTTGAGTAAACTAAAATGCAGAGGGATTCAGTAAGGTCCTGCAGGTCCTAGAGCTAATCATAGGCTGGGTTTCTGTCCACACCTTAGCTTCAGGACTGTGCCCTGCAGAAGATACCCATTGGAAAGACAGTTGGTGGTGAAAGAGTTCATCAGTACTAAAGTATACAACAGTCAGAACTTATTCAATGAAAAGTCATTTAATCTAAGTGTTAGAGTTGTTCTTTTGTGTGTAACTTGAATGATTAACCTAGGAAGAAATTATTTTACTAACAACTAGTTATCAGCTGGTGGCCTTCTAGAGTCTCTCAGTCCACTTTGAGTTCTGGATTTTCCATCTGTGTAAAACCCTGTGTATGTTTTATTTCTGCATGTTTCTTTAAAGATTTCTTCAAAGCTCCAGCAAAGTCCAGAGCCCAGCTGTTCCATGCTCATCTCAGCTTCCCACTTTTCAGTCTTTGAGAACAGTGGCTGAGTTCCCAGGGCTGGAAGGCACAGTGGCCACACAGGTGCCTAAGCTTGGCCGAGGCATCTCAGAAGGGGAAGATGTTCTCTTTTTTGATGAGTCACCACCATCAAGACCAAAACTGAGTGCAGTTGCAGAAGCTAAAAAGGTAACTGTCTTCTATTTTCTTTAGTGCTTGATTTTGCATTCCGTAAGACACAGCTTAGGTGTCAAACTATGAACTCATGTTCACTAGATGCCTAGTGGTTATTTACCAATCATGTTATGTAGAGTAAAAGGAACTTTAAATGATAATGGTATCCACATACCATTCATTTAATCTAAGAAAATTGAGCCCTGTCTGATACCATTCATTTAATCTAAGAAAACTGAGCCCTGTCTCAACTGTTCTGAATCAGGCTAAAGGAGATAGCCTCCAGGAAAATATTGCTTTACAGCTAGAGACATTGCTGTTAAGGAAAAAATTGGAATTTTTGAGGCAAGACTAAAAACTAGTGGTTTAAAGACTCCTTCTTTAGGGTGAGGGTGTAGTTCAGTGCTACAGTGTGTATTTAGCTCACACAAGGCCCTGGGTTGGATCCCAGCAACCAAAAAAATAAAAAAGAATTCTTCTTTAAAAAGAACCTTATACAGAAGTCCAGTCTGTCAATAGATGAAAGCTAAAATGCTTTGGCTGAAGTAGGGGTGGGGGGTATCCAGAATACCATCTGTCAACTGCCCTAGTCCCTTGATTGAACTTCTTTCTGCTTTTCTCTAATCACCAGGAATAACCCAATTAAGGGCGAAAGCTCACTCTAAGCCCAAGCCCCTTACCTATAATAATGATAACAGTAACATCAATAATAACAGCAGTTGCACATATTGAGTAATATTACTCTGCGCGTGCCATGCTTGTCCTATGTTCAGGTATGCGCCTTGTCTCATTGAATCCAGACAACTAGAACCTTATAGTAAGACAGGTCAATGCTATCATCATCCCCTTTTATCAATGTAGAAACTGAGACTGAGAAATAAAGTAATATTACATGCTACTCAGGGCATGAGCTGGAATTCTACCTGAATTCTGATTCTAAAACTTCCAAAATGATCATGTGATCCCCTTTATAGATCTAGAGGCCTGTAGTCTATGATATTAAACTATTTGTTTCATTTAAGTAAACTGAAATTTCATTCATCAGTTTATAGACCTGTCTCTCTGTTATTAGATTCTAATAATTGTTACTAATTCTAGGTAAGATGAAGAAATACTTTGTCAATTTCCATCAGAAAATAGCCAGACTCTACTGGTTAATAGCTGGAAAGGGGAAGATGCTTTGGGTACCTATTTCATCTTTAGATTCTTAGCTTCTTCTCTTTTTCTAGTTGGCTGCTATCTCCAAATTAAGGGCAAAAGGCCAGATTCTTACAAAAACTGATCCAAACAACATTACAAAGAAACAAAAGGACTCCCAGAATGTCCTGGAAGTGAAGAATCGTGTAGAAAAGAACAATACATTTTCTCCTCAAGGTACTACCATTTTAAAGTTAGCAATGGGAGAAAGAGAGCATTTATTAGGGAAATGCTCTAACTTCTAAACCATAACCAGTGCTCTAATGATAAAATGATAAGTATTTTTTTTTTTTTTTTTTTTTTGGTGGTGTTGGGAATCGACCCCATGGACTCACACATGCTAGGCAAGCGCTCTATTACTGAGCTATGTCCCCAACCCTTTATATTTCGAGATGACTTGAACTTGTGATCTTCCTACCTTGGCCTTCTGAGCAACTGGGATTATAGGCATGCACCACTATGCCCAGCCCAAGTCATTTTTTCACTTGCTTTTCCCCCACATAAGATTTAAGATTGAAACTGATTGTGTTTTTATAACCACATTAAATTGGAATGAAATTAATACACAATTTGAACCATCAGGAAAAAGGTTCCTCATTGAATCTTTGCAGAATGCATTAGCATGAAGATTTACTTTGAAATAAATAGAATTCCTTTGTTTTAAATTGCGGTTCATTTTTAAAACTCTGTGGTTGGTGTTGCCATTTTTTAATTGGTTTATAAATAGGATTTTTCTTGTTATCTGTTATCATAATCAGCTCCTTATGTTAAAGTGAAAGAGATATTCTAATCCAGCGATCAGGTCACCCCTGTATTCTAGGTTCTACCGCTTGGGTTACTCCCTAAGTTTTCTTTGTGGTCTCAAGGTTGAAAGACCCAATAGACAGTCAGAGGAAGCTAAACATCTGAGGCACCATTGGCAGAGAACAGGGATCTATGCTGTCTCAGATTTCTCTGTTATATTTAACATTTTTTCTTTCTGCTCTAGCTGAGGATGAATTGGAGCCTGCAAAGAAAAAAAGGAGAGAGCAGCTCTCTTACCTGGAATCTGAGGAATTCCAGAAAATTCTAAAAGCAAAATCAAAGCACACAGGCATCCAGAAAGAGGTAAGAACCCCAAAAATCAGAGCAATGTCAATGTCCTTCAAACCTGAGGTGCTTTGTTGTAGAACAAAGAACTTTCTTATACATATGTCAAGAAATAACTAGGGCAGTTTGTTTGGGTTTGTTTTGAAAGGCAGGAATATTTTCAAATAATTTTAGCTTTGCTCTTGTCCTTATACTGAAGAATAGTAATTTGTTTATTATTTAAACAGACTTCAGTATATAAAATTGTTTCCATGTAGTTATGACAATGAGATTATGTATAAATGGCCCCATACTGCTTAATATTTTCTGCCTTGCAATATGGAAAGGTATTATTTCCATTCAAATATTTTAATGTTGACATTTCAAATGCTCTGCATCAATAGTTAACCTCATTACTCCCAAAGACCGTTTTAATCAGAAGTACTTTTTTATTGCTCTTTATCATAAAATAAAATTCATGAATGATATGTATTACCTATACTTAAAATTTCAAAGATATTAGCATGGTATCCTAACTAATATAAAAATTTTTAAAAAGAGGAAAATAACATTTTTTATTAGAAGTGCTTGGGCATAGCTTACCCTAAGAGAAATAATGAAGTAGTTAGAGGCTTGAATCTATAAATGTACATGACACAGTGGGAAATGAGAACTCACGTAGTAGCTATGTTTTCTTGTTAAGTACCATGGGCCTATTTTTTTTTTTTTTTAAATAATCTTTGTTTTAAACAGTGAATTATCCTGGAAAACCCTCAGTGTACACAGAAGTTACCTAGTTGTGCTCTTGGAATATTCAATTTATGTTAAAACCATGCACAAATAACTTAGGGTTATATATAAAACAGATTTATATGTAAAACCTATAATTAGGTTTCTCATGCACATGGATGTCCCATAAATACACAGAAGCCAAATAGGATAAGGAACAATCCTTTGTTTTGTAGGGGACTGTTCTGTGCATTGCAGACAGCATAGCATCCCTTTTCTCTGCCAATGGTGGAGATAGCAATCATGACGATAACAAAAAAGCACCACACATTCTCAAAATGTCTCTGGGGCTACTGTTGTTTCTACTTAGTGCTGATATGCCTGATGATCTTCACTCTTGATTAACAAGTAACAAGACGGTTATAAACCATCTTTCCACTGGACTTAAAACTCAGGCAATTGAAATGTCAGAGCCGACTCCTAAAGGCCGTAGAGATGAGCTCCTTCCTCATGGGTCCTCAGATACTGAATTCTTTTGCCTTGTGCAGCTGTGCCAATTCAAGCTGTGTCCACATTCTATAGAAAACACCTCCCTCCCCTCATCCTTTCTCTTGTTCTCAGCACCCAGGAAGTTCTGCCAAGTGCTCAACCTGGGACCAGTGCCTAGTAAATGGGGCTGTCATCACTGGAGATCTCGAGCATGTTCCCCCCTATAGAGTCTGTATTAGAACAGTAGAAATAACTGTCTGCTGGTGCACACTGGACCTAATGACAGTGTTAATATGTTAGCTGTTTTTATTTGTATTTGGTGTTTTATAAATCACCAAATATTTTCATGGTTTTGGTTCTCCCTGATACATATTTTAAGAGCTCATTTCTACTTACCTTCATCTTTGGTTTGAAGTTCTTGAGGTACTACGTAGGGTTCTCTAACATTTAGCCTGTCTCTTCAGTTCTATTTTGATTATTATCCCAACTGATTATTGTTATTATTATCCAACTGCCTGAGCATATGTTGGAATTTGTGCAAATACTCCTGGCTGTTTTGTCATTCAGTTGGAGGCTGAGCTCCAGGAATGCTATTTCGAGCCACTGATAAAAAAAGAACAAATGGAAGAAAAGATGAGAAGCATCAGAGAAGTGAAGTGTCGAGTAGTGACGTGTAAGACAGTGAGTGTACCCATTTCAACTTTCTACCATTTCTTCTCTCCTTTCAGGGATCAAAACTAAAGATGAATTATGTTTTGGTTTTGTTGCTTGTAAAATTGGAGTGATAACAAGCTTATATATTTTTCATAGATCTTGTAGGAGAAAGTGAAAAAGCTACCGATCAGCCTTTCTAAATAAGTCCCAAGCCTCATTATCTATCATCAGTAGCCTATAAGGAGGAGTCTAAGACAGACCATCCTAAGCTGTTGAGAAATTTACAACACTGTGCTCCTTTGGCCCTCAGTGTTGTCCTAATGTCACAGAAGTTATTGGGTACTTCATGCCTGGCTAGAAGTTCAGGTAGATATTAGAAAAAAATAGTAATCAGTATGAGGGAGAGTCAAGAAATCACTTGATCCACAGAGCTAGAAGATAAGGTGGTAACATCCCCATCATTGACCTAGGCAGTAAGGGGATGACACTGTGTACTTGGACCAGATGGTGGTTACCCAGTCTCTCCTTAAAAGCTCTTCATGGGCATGTGGTCTGTTGGTTTGTGCAGTGTGCCTACACCCACTTCAAACCTTTGGAGACCTGTGTCAGCGAGCAACATGACTACCACTGGCATGATGGTGTCAAGAGGTTTTTCAAGTGTCCCTGTGGAAACAGAAGCATCTCCCTTGACAGGCTCCCAAAGAAGCACTGCAGGTATGAGCTTTGCTTGGGGTTTTCTGTCGCATGCAGGGCTCCTTAAGTCTTTTGGTGTTACTATGTGATGCTATGTGATAGGACCAGTGTTCCATGTCTTCTTAGAGCTTCTGGATATCCCCAAGACTATAGTTGACAGTTGGAATCCCTGGGGGGCAGGGACATTTCCTTTTTACTGCTATATCCCCAACACTTAATGTGGTGTCTGGCCCATAGAGTTCTCAAAAATGTTCATGGAATAAATGAAATATGTGTAAGTTGGGCTGGTGAATGAATATATGTACTTATTAGGGACTAAGATAGAGAACTGTTTTTCTCTCTCCATTCCAAGAATCTTTTCTTCACTTAAAATCTCTTTAACATATGAGAAAGTATACATGTTTTAATGTTCTTTTATTTGTTTTTGTGTATACTTGTGGGCGGGCTCAGATACAAAGGCATACTGTGATGTCATCCTCTTGGGGAGGCTGAGGAATCCTTCCTCCTCCATCTCTGGTCCACTCACCATCTTCCTCATTTATTTGTTCTTTTTATCCCCTTCCTCACCCCCTCTTCCCATCTCTTAACATCATAATCAACCATTCTCACATGATTAATATTATGCTTTTGTTTTTTTGTAAAATATTTTTTGTTTTTATGCACTTTTATTTTGCAGAAATGGCACTATATTAAATGTCTCATCTTAATGTCTCTTTTCACTCAGTGTTTTTAGGATACCTCTGTTTGCTCTCTGTTTGCTCTAGTGTATTCCATCAATTGATAATACTGCTCCATGACCAGCATTCATCACATTCAACCATGGATTTCCATACCCCTTACTCACCCCTTAGGTCCTCATAGGGTCTGGTATAGGAGATGTTTTGGCATGTACCCAGGATTAGAACTGACCAGATAATATTAGGTCGCTCTCCAGAGTGACTAGGCCAGTCTTCCCTCCATCAGGCTTACACAGGGGCCTCCATATCCCCATCTTCAACAACATTTTTGCCAGAGTACAAAGTGGCATTCTGATAGTTTGTTAAAATTTTATGTATTTGGTTATTGATATTTTTAATATCAGTTCATATGCTTTTCTTTTTTGTATTTTTTGTTACTATCTCTTATTATCCTACTGGAGCTTCTTTTTCTTCTTATTTGTAGATTTGTAGATGTGTCTTCAGTATTTAAGATCTTAGTCCCATATAATTTTGATCATTGCAAATATATTCTTCTCAAACTATTGATTTTTAAGTTAAATCATTAGGGAATTTCTTTTTTTAACCTCCCAGCTTTGTACTTTTATGGTTTTTGTTGTTTTTCTGGTTGTTTTCTTTTTCTCTTACCCCATCCCCACCTTAAAAGTACATAGATAATTTCCTATGGTTTTTTCTCCTTAATTGCACAGTGAGCCCCATTGTCTTTAAGTGTGTGGGCATATACACCACCACTGAGTAAATCCATCTTTTCTCTTTCAGTAATTGTGGCCTCTACAAATGGGAACGAGATGGAATGCTAAAGGTAGGTGTATTCATAAGCTTTTTATTACTTTAACAAACCACTGAGCTGATCAATTGAAAAAGAGGAAAGGTTTATTTCAGCTCAGAGTTTTAGGGATTTGAATCCATGGTTAAACTGGATTTTAGCTGTGGCCCCATTGCTTTGGGGCCTGTGGTAAAGCCACACATTGTAGTGAGAATACATGGCAGAGGAGGCCCATTTACCTCATGGCTAGGAATGAAATAGAAGAGGCCTGGGTTCCACAGTCCTTTCAAAGGCACAACCCCAATGACCTAAGACCTCCTGTTATGCCCCACCTGTTTAAAAGTTCCACACCTCCAGTAGTGCCATGCTGGGAACCAAGCCTTGAACATGTGGGCCTTTGGGGGACATATTAGATCCAAACTATAGAGGTGGAATCACTTCAGTGTTAATTTGTGACCCATTTTAGTGACCCAGGGAAATAATGTTAAACCAGTTCTTATTAAGTACTCTCATTTTTCTAGGAAAAGACTGGTCCAAAGATTGGAGGAGAAACCCTATTGCCAAGAGGAGAAGAACATGCTAAATTTCTGAATAGCTTTAAATGACCCTAACTTCAGACATTTTTTCACAACCTGTCTTGCTTCTTGTGGTTCTGGAAAAGCAAGGGACTGGCTCTGCATTACCCATGTTTCTGATTGACACCATTAGAAACAAAAACTTGTTAATAGGCCGATCCACTTTTCTTAAATACTTTCTTCTGTTGAATTAATTTTACACCAAATATAACTGACTTACAAATGGAAAATCAAGATATCCTGGTCTTTCCTATTCTCACTTTAGATGACTGCATTACTGCATTCACATAAATTTTTAGAGTTACTCCTTAGTTACACTAAATCTTACAGGGCTTTCCTTTGAGGTGTTTTAGAACATTGAGCAATGAGTGGGTGGGGTGAGGGGTGCAGCACAGGTGGGGGAACTTACTTGTAGGCCTTGAAAACATTCCTAATGAGATCAGTCTTTTAATCCTGTTTATCAACATGTATTAAATGCTTTCATACAAATCGAACAGGTGTTTAATTTTTTTTTAACCTGTCATTAGTAGGGTATTGTGTCATCACAGGCCATCGGAGCAGGGTAAGTAAGCAGAGTGAGCAGAAGCCGTTTGTCCTTTGTGGAGAACCTGATGTGAAGATTATAATTTTTACAATAGTTTTTGTTGTTTTGTTTTGTTTTTGGGTTTTTTTTTGGTTTTGTGGGGGGGTTTTGTTTGGTTGGTTTTGGTACTCTTGTTGTGCCTTTTTCTTTTTGGAGGAAAAAAACTTGGCTTTTTAAAATAAAATCACCTTTCATTGAGTTTTATAATGATAAAATGTTTTCCCTTTCTAAACAACAAAAATAAAACAAGTATTTTAGGTAAAAATAATTCAGAATAGCAAATAAGGAACTTCTGAATGGCTGGTGTAGAATTTTCCCCAAAGGGGAAATATGAAAAGCTTCACATTGGTCAAAGAAGAGAGGGCATGGACCGGGTTTCTGTGGAAAAGTTCATGATAAAAGAAAAGCTTAATGCTGTTTATAGCAGGTTAATTAATGTCTAATGACATTTGTTTGTTCTAATCTGGAGCATAGATCTGTTTGCTTAAGTACATCACTAGTAGCAACCCATCAGAGCTTTTGCTCTGCCAGGAAGATAAGCATTTCTGACCCATGCCAGTATTTGGGAAGAATTGGGTGACATCTAAAAAAACAAAAAAGATTAAGTGGCATTAAAGGTAGAAGAGATCAGTTAGCTTATTAGGTTGACAACAATTTGTGAAAAAGGTCTAGAAATTTTGAAGATTAAAAGAATGGCTACACTGTTGGACTATCCTCAATGAGGAAAATGTTACTCTGCATGCAAGTCATCACAAAAGCACTTCAAGAACTGATTTAGAAGCTATAAATCAAATTAGGTGAAATTGCAAACATTGAACCACAAATAACCAATTACTATATAGTATTTCCCCAAATAGTTCCAGATCAGGTATACTCTATTTTGCAGATTAGAAATTGGTTAAGTAGTTTAGAAATAAAGGCTGAGACTTATTTGAAACAAGTTTAGTAAGGTTTCTTTTTTAAAAAATTTTTTTTAGTTGTAGATGAATACATATCTTTATTTTTATTTATTTATTTTTACATAGTGCTGAGGATTGAACTCAGGGCCTCATGCATGCGATGCAAGCACTCTACCACTGAGGTACAACCCCAGCCCTAGTAAGGTTTCTTAAGCAAAGACTTAGCTAACAATAGTTTTTAAAATCAATTCTATTAAGGTATAGATTACATACAGTAAAAGGCACATGCCTTAGTGTATAGTTGGAAAATTTGAACAACTGTTTATACCCATGTAGTCACACCACAAACGTGAAGCAAGATGTTGCTTTCTCCTCCAAAAGGTGGCCTTGAACCACTTGCCAATCAATCTGCACCGCAGCCCCTATAGATTTACATTCTAGTTTCAGATAAATGGAATCATACAGGGCATATTTGGTATCTGTCTTCTTTCACATAGCATAATTTTTTAAATTTATTCACATTTTAGTGTGTTATCAATGTTTTGTTTTTTTCTTTTTTATTGCTGGCTTCCCTGTAAATGGTTTGTTTATTCACCTGTTGATAGACATTGGATTGGATTGTCCCTAGTTTGGGACTGTTATGAATAAAGCTGCTAAAATTATTTTAGCAGTAAAAGTATTTTTGTGTCTCAGGCAAACACTTAGGAGTGGAATTTCTGGGTTATATGGGAAGCTTCATAAGAAACTGCCAAGTTGTTTTCCAAAGTGGTTGTACCATTTTACACACCAACTGGTAATGTGCAAGGGTTCTGTTTGCTCCATAGTCCCAATACCTGATATTGTCTTTTTAGCCATTTTGATGGGTGTGTAGTAGCATCTTATTATGGTTTAGTTTGTAATTCCTTGGTCACCAATACTATTTGAGCATCTTTTCATGTACTGTCCATTCATGTCCTTTTTTTGGTTTTTGTTTTTAACTCAGGGCTACTTAGCCATTGAGCTAAATCCCTACACCTCTTTTACTTTGAGACAGAGTCTTGCTGAGTTGCTCAGGGCCTTGCTAAATTGCTCAGGCTGGTTTTGAACTTGCAGCCCCTCTGCCTTGGCTTCCCAAGCTGCTGGAATTATAGGCTTTTGCTACCACGCCCAGCCTCATGTGTCTTTATAACGTATGTCTACTCATCCACTTTTATTTTTTTTAATTATTGTATTGAGTTATGTATATTCTGGATACAAGTGCTTTCTTTCACCAATAAGTATCATGAAAGTATTTTGAGTAATGTTGGGCAGAAGATCTATGAAAATAGTCTAGTTTTTGTCTTCTCATAATTCCCCAGAGTGATGTTATTAGCTCAGCACAAGTGGGTTTGACCTTGAGAGAGAACAATTCAAGTACTGGATTTGGTAAATTCCTGGGTTTTTGATTCTAGCTTTATTTTTACATAATTAGCAAATATATCAAAATGGAAGTAATGTCTAGTTGTATATTATTCAGGTACTGTGTTAGTTTTCCATCATTATAACAAATACCTGGGGTATTCAATTTATAAAGAAGGGTTTATTTTGGCTCAGTTTTGGAGGATGGTTGGCCCTGTTCCTTTTGGGCCTGTGGCAAGGCAGTGTATCATGTTGGGATTACATGATATGGAGCAAAACCACCTCATGGCTGAGAAGCAAAAAAAGAGGAAGAGGAAACCCACAGTCCTCTTCAGTGCCACAACCCCAGTGACCCAAGACCTCCCACTAGTTCCACATCTGAAAATTTATACCTCCCAATCACACCAGGCTGGGAACCAAGTCTTTAACACAGGGACCTTTAGGGGACACTCAAGATCCAAACTATGACAGGTACTTGTTTGTGTGCTAAAGGCATAAAAAAGGTTGTCCTCACTAAAAGTTGTACTATTTTATTTTTTTTCAATAATGACTTCAGGAGAGCAATCTAATGGTGTAATGAGATTGTTTCTTATGTAAATCAATTTACAAAATATTAAATATCTTGCCTCTTGGTGCCGTAATTCTGCTGAGTGCATGATAAATGGTCAGCCATGAGCTGATAAGATCACAAGCTTGCTGGACATGGTGGTGCACACCTCTAATCCCAGCTTCTAGGGAGGCTGATGTAGGAGGATTACAAATTCAAAGCTTATCTCAGCAATTTAGCACGTCCCTGCCTGAGAATTAACTAGATGGGATTGGGAAGGTAGCTCAGTGATAGAGCACTTGCCTGGCATGTGTGAGACCCTGGGTTCAATCACAAGTATTACCAAAAAAAAAAAAATTGTTTTGCAAGGCCTGTGCTTTATAATAATGAGATTATTGTTATTGTTTTTACTTGGGGAAATATTTAAGGACAGGGGTCTATACAATGAATGATTCAGAATCACAAGTGTAATATTTAAGACCCCAAAGTATTATGGTGTCTAAATCAATGAGGAGTTGTCTAGAAAAAATATTCACTTTAGTTTTCATATCATATGAAATTTAGTTTTCATATGGAAAACCAGCCATATCCAAAACCTCAAAAAAAATTGCCGTTCCTGTAGGAAACTTTTTGAAAACTGCTTAACTATAAATTAGCTATACCATCTTTTTTTATATGATAAAAATGGTTCGATAGGTAAAGTAGGCATTACTGGACAAAAATGAATTTTAATGTTTAAAAAATAAAAACAAAAAGTTTCCATAGATTCTTAGGTGTACACAGATTACCTTCAGGATCCTCAAGATGTGGGAACGGTGGTTTCCTTTGGAGACAAGAGGGATGTAGTTTCTACTATGTTCCTTTCTGTCCCTTGTAAGTTTGAAAGCATGTATGTAGATTACCTGTTCACATTGTGTGTCTGTATGTGGTGCTAGGGCTCGAACCCAAGGGCCTCACATGCTAGGTATTCAAACTTTAATTTTTTAAAAAAGGCAATGTGGAAAGGGGCAAAGCTTTCCAGCAGTGACAAACCTCCCAAGATATCATGCCTCACGAAGGATCTCCTTCAGCCCTCTCCAGAGGAAACGTGAGGAAACCTGGCACAGAGCCCCATTCTCCCTCCATGGATGTGAAAGGCCCAGGATGCTCTAAGATCACCAGTCTTCAGCCACACAAAGGGTAGTTTTGTGTGTTCCCCATTTCACTGTCCTTTGCCAACCCACAGGAAGAAAGGCCAGGCTTCCTGGAGGGTGGTCCTTCAAGAGGAAGCAGCACCCAAAGCACCCTGAGTTGAGGTGAGCGGGAAAACATCTCAGTAGGCATCTTTTGGATTTTTTTTTTTTTTTTTTTTTTTAAAGTCTTGATTTGTTATAGTGTCCAGCTCCAGCAGGGGGTCTCAGGAGATGAATGGATGGTGAGGAGTTAGCAAAAGGGGGCGGAGAAACAACAGACACAAGAGTGAAGGTGCTGAATCCCAATCTTTACTTGTAAAGTTAATCATATATACTTTTCATTTTGGCAGGCTCACAGTATTCTGTGGTTACAAAACAGGAAACATTATTCAAGGAAAGAAAATTTTACGTAGCTACAATTGGATAAGAAGAATGTATCTTGGCTTGTGCATAAGCAAGCATTTTTACTTTCAGTTTGCGTTTTACTTTGAGCTGTTTCCACTTAGTTAGCTTTTAATAATATTTAGAAATGTCCTAGACTATTGGCCTATACCTTGATGATTCTTTCTTGACTTACAGACTAGAACCGGCGCCATGGTTATGACAAATGGTTAACTTGAAAAGAAAGGCTACTAATTTTAATCAATCAAGAGTAAGAGCATCAAACCATTGTGCACAGGAACGAGAACAAGTTGCCCAGTACTTTAATATTAATTAATCTGTCTTAATATTAATTTTTCTTCTTTAGATTTTGATTTAATTTCTCAAAAACTTCCTTGACTGTTTTTCCTATGGGGGTTTCTCATTAAACATTAACAATTTACGTTCCACAGCTGAATCATTGCAAAT